ACATTGCTATTGAAAGCTCAAGTGTGTCAGTTACTGCTGATTTTGTAAAAACAGAGCTGTTACAGGAAGTAAAAGTGACAGAGTCTCCAACCTACCATATGAAGTTTAATAAATCTCACAATATGCCAAAGTCTCATAGAAAGATAACAACCAAAAGATATGCCCACGTTGTTACAGTTGTAATAAATATGGTCATTTTAGTAAAAATTGCTACTTTCACAACAAAAAGAAATCACAATCAGATAGCAAAAGTAATGGGTATTATGCTGCTTTTTCAGTTGCAGAAACATTGGACAAGACCAAATGGTACATCGACTCTGGTGCATCACAGCACATGTGCCGAGAGAGAATATGGATGTATGATGTTTCTCCTACAACAATAAATAATATAAAGGTGGCAGACAACAAGACGGTGACGGTAGAAGGATGTGGTAATGTAAATTTACGAATAAGAGACTCCGAAGGCAGACCTCAGACAATTCAAATAAAAAATGTGCTTTATGTACCTACTTTTACAACAAATTTACTTTCTGTAAACCAGATTACAAAGAATGGGTGTGATGTTAATTTTGAGAAAGACCGATTTAAAATTTACCGAAACAAGAAATTTGCGTTGCAATATAATAAAATGTATGTATTGAATGAGTTTTCTGAAACATACGCATTGTTGTCAAGAGTAGATGAGAATGATATTAATTTGAGGCATCAGAGGTTGGGCCATCTTAACTTCATATATTTACAAAAATTAGAGAACAGGAGTAGAATTATCAAAAAAAGGTTTCCAGATTTGCATACACGTATAGAAGGTAAAATGAAAAGACTAGCTTTTAAGAATATTGGTACTAGAGCCTTTGAACCTTTTCAATTAGTTCACACTGATGTATGTGGTCCGACGGAGATTAGCTTTGTAGTAGGTGCTAAATATTATGATACTTTGTAAAGGTATATGTGTACCTTATGAAAAATAAATCTGATACTTTAGAAATGTTTAAGCAATTCAAAAGCTTAATTGAAAATGAGACTAAAAAAAGAATAGAGTATAAAGATCCGACAACGGAAAAGAGTACATAAATAAAGAATTTAAATCGTTTTTAGAAAAATTTGGCATACAACATCAAACCACTAATCCATACACCCCAGAACAGAATGGGTTAGCCGAGCAAATGAATGCACATTTGTAGAAAGAGCTAAATGTTTGATTCTAAATTCCAGATTGGAAAAATCTTTTTGGGCTGACGCAGTATCTACAGCTGCTTACATAATAAACAGGTCACCAACCAAGGCTTTGGACTACAGGATACCACATGAGATGTGTACGGGTAAGAAGCCGAATATTAGTAATATGAGAATTTTTGAATGCGATGCCATGGTACATGTGCCCAAAGAAAATAGGCAAAAAAGGGACTCTAAAGCAGTCAGAATGTTTGTAGGGTATTGCGAGTACACAAAAGGATACAGATTTTATGATAAAAATAATAAACAAATATACAAAAGTAGAGATGCAATATTTCTCGAGCATAAAAAATAACAGCATTATTATGCCACTATCTGATTTGTAAGAAAATGAATCTGAAGATTTGTTTCAAACAGATAAAAGTTCAAGTGAGTCTTCAACTGACACATCTGAGACTCTGAAATCAGAGAATACAACTCTAAAAGAAAAATTATCTGATGATGATAATAATGCCGATGATGAGTGTATACCAGATAAAAATGTTAATAATTTACCATCTCGTACGATAACACTGAGACCAAGGAATAATAAACATAATGCCTACTTGTCAGAAAGCTTGAATGAGTCAAAACAAGTAACAGATTTATTGGTTAGAGAACCCAACACTATAGAAGAAGCTCTTTCAGGCCTCAATGCAGAAGAATGGAAAAATGCCATGAATAATGAATATGTGTCGCTCCTGGAAAACAATACATGGACATTAGTCACACTAGCAGAAGGTAATAGAGCTATTCCGTGTAAATGATTAAAGGATTTATCCAGAAAAGGGGGAATTGACTACAATGAGATATTTGCTCCAGTAGTTCGTCATACTTCAATTAGATATTTATTAGCATTGACTGCCAAATACAATTTATTCATCGAACAGATGGATGCAGTTACTGCTTTCTTACAAAGTGACATTGACACAGAAATATACATGCTTCAACCACCTTCTTATGAATATGGAGAAGATGTTTGCAAATTAAATAAATCAATTTATGGTCTCAAGCAGGCAAGCAGACAATGGAATCTGAAACTAACATCTGTGCTAAAGGAATTAGGACTAAAAAGTATATTTGTGGACCCATGTATACACCACAAAAATTATGGCGGAATTATTCTATTTGTACTTATATATGTCCATGACTTGCTATTATTTTATAATAATGCAGAAACAGGAAAAAAAATAAAACAGCAATTGAAATGTAAATTTGATATGAAAGAACTTGGATATGTACATCACTTTGTTGGTTGGAAAATTGAACAAAATTTACCAAAAAATGAAATTAGCGTTGATCAGACTGCCTATATTGAAAAAATTCTAGAAAGATTCAAAATGAGTGATTGTAATCCAGTTCAAACGCCATGTGACCCTAGTGTTAAATTAACTAGTACGGAAATAAAGAGAATATTCTAACAGATATACCATATCAAGAGGCTATTGGAAGCTTACTATATTTATCTCAAGGAACTAGGCCAGACATATGTTTTATAATAAATAAGCTAAGTTGCTTTAATAACAAGCCAGAACAGCAACACTGGTTAGTTGTACTTCCTACAGTATATTGCGGTATAGGTTTTCCAAATTTTTGATTATATTTTTCTTTAACTTTCATCTTCGTATTTATTTGATTATCGTGTGCCCTTTCTCTTAATTTTTCTAGGATTGAATTCGATTCGCTTACGTACTCGTCTACTGTAATTTCATTTACTAAAATTTCATCCGGGTTATTGAAATTTCTGTGTTTAAAACTTCATATGGGGTTAGCTTAGTTGCGTAATGCGTTGATGTGTTACAGGCAAATGTTGTTGAATTCAAGAGCGCTATTGAGCATAATTTAGTTTTTTCTTTGGTAGAATAAGTAGTAATGGTATTTTTTAGGGAACAAATAACTCGTTCAGCCATACCATTCGTTTTGGGGTGATAACCTATGGAGTGAGTATGTTGTATATTTAATTCGGACAATTTACATTTTTTGTAAGATCTCATTGACGAATTCTCCTCCTTGATCACTATGGATTCTTTTTGGGATGCCAAATGTAGCTATAAAAATTCAACAGTTTACTTTTTATTGTTTCGGCTGTTATATCTTTTATTATGTATGTTTTCAGTAATTTTATTAATTGGTTTTGAATTACTAGGACGGACTCTTTAGTTTTTGTGGTGAAATAGATTTCAGTTACATCCATATCAACACGTTCGAAGGGTAATGTGGGGGTCGCGGTTATCGTTAATGGGGCTTTATAACTACGTCGGACTGTTTTGTTTTGTTAACATTCGAGACAAGAATTTATTTAATCAATTACGTTCAATTACATTTTTATTAACTCGCCACTCGTATGTTTGCTACATATGAAACGGGATCTATCTTACTATTGAATTAACGTGAAGATTATAAATAAGTTTTCAAATAAATTTTTGTAATCTTCTGAATTTTCAACAACATAAGTTCAATTTTTGTTGGATTTGAAGAAGGCTTCAATTCTAAAACTTCGTTAACCATGGGATTTTCGCTATGACGTAAAATAAAGTGGCAATAGTTGGGGTTATCCATCATGATTANCGACCCAATATATCCCGGGAGCATAACAAATGCAGTTGCGTATAGTGTTTCCATGTATTGGTTCCGTGTAGCTATTTCGCGTTTCGCAAAGTCGATCCAATATATCCCGGGAGCATAAAAAATGCAATTGCGTATGATGGTTTCGCGTTTTGAAAGTCATGCAATTCCGGAAAAATGAAAAATATAATTTTGAAAATTACGAACGCTATGTGACATTATCCAAACACATTTTTCACTTCACGTGCATTTTATGATAAAATTAAAGAGTATATTATCCTGAGATCCCAAGATACCGAATCTAACAGATTTTTCTACAGTAAATTCATGGCAAAGATACTCCAAATGTCATAGGATAAAATAAGATTACTGAAACACTAAAAGTAGTTGCTAGTTTTCTAAATATAGAGACACCCTCAGTTTCACACTGATCATTACTTCTGTAGGACAACAGCAGTATTGACTGTTAACTCTAGTGGTTCCATGATTACATGTTTGAAGTTGCAGAGTTAATACTGTTGCAGAATGATACGTAGAGAACCATTTAAGTAATAAAATTGACATTTTTTATGTAATAACACATCTAAACGGTGATGATTTGTTAGTTAAAAGTTATATAAAACCTTCCCAACAAGGTCTATTTATACTAATTCAACTTAGGATGAAGGTAATAATAACATAGATGGTTCATCTACAAACAATTTGAATTCAACGTCAGTTGAACTTAACAATGTGGATACTTTTTAGAGAATACTACAAATGGCGCAGTAAACGCCATCTCTAGCACGATGCTACATTTTAGGATTACGTATGCTCCAACAAGGTCCACTTGTGTGGATATCTACTTGCTGATATACAGACCACTTCGACTTATTTAATGTGGATACTTCCTCTGTAGATCCAAACAATATATATAATGAATTTTGAAAAATCAAAGGTGATTAATTAATCACTGTGCTGTTATTTGAACAATAAATAAAAAATAAATTAAAGAGCGAACGACGATAGAAATGTACATTGAACAATCCTGCTCTTTACGCAACAGAGAGCAAAGGAGGTTACTGAATTAGTGTTGGCGGGAGAATTTTGCCATTGCAGTATACTGTCACTTATTTCACAATTTGCATTCAGCAAATTTGCTGGGCAGTAATTTATTAGGTATAAGGTAGTAGTAAGAGCAAAAGAGTTGTATATCTAAACTGGAAAAATATTAAAAGCCTTACTTGGCAGTAACGGACAGTCAAAACTGTTAAGGTCTCGTTCAGCATTCCTGAAAAGACTCTTCTTGACATGTCTGGAGGGACCGTTTTCCACAAATCATCTCTTGTTGCTGAAAAAGGCATAGGTTTTAGTTAATTAAATTGACAGACTTTTAATAATTTCAGACAACGTGGTTTCTGTTTTTTGTATTGACTGCAGAAGCTACCTATAGTGCACGGGGAGACAAACTGGGGGAAATTATGTGGAAGTCTTTATGTCTGTGATTGTTACTGTAGGTGTTAGGTGTAGCTTTTATCATTCTTCTTAGTCTGGTAGTAACTTACAAACGCTTTGTTGAAGACAAAACGGCAAACGCCACCTACCTCAGTATGAGAAGTTAACCGTATCGATTCTTTGGTAAAATGAAGCAATGAAAAAAATAGAATATCGTTTCATTCTTTAGCACAAGGGAGGTTTTAATTATGAGAGCGGCGTACCCTCAAGCATAAATTTAGATAGGCTGCTCTAATCTTATAAGGTCGTTAGTGTGAACTCGGCTGAAGGTGCGAAAAAAACTTAAAGAGTTGGTGGGGATTGAAAAAGTAGAGAATGTCCAAAGTAAAGTAACTCAAATCCACGAAATGATAATTCCACCACACTGCAAAAAACAATGTGAAGTAAAATTTGACTCTCTCAAAACCAAATACGATCGTGTCAAAATTCACATTTTTAGGCACTTGTCCATATCAAACGAGGATGAAGACTTCATGAAATGTACTATGTTTGATCAGTATTCTGGAATACAGATAGCGCCACAGCGTATGGGGTGTAAATGCTATGAACAAAAACTATGCACACTTAATGATTGGGAACACTAGCATTATATTATGTACTTATTACGACTTCTTCACAGAACGCAGTTTACCCTATAAATTCTCTGGTCGGATAAGTGTTGTTTGTCCATTCAAGCATGTTCAATTCGCGACATATGCATGTATGGACAGACGAAAATCCCTATGGTATGCGACGAAGCAACTTTCAACATCGCTCTTTTCTGATACGGTTTACCTCCCTTAACAACCAGTGTTCGAGTCGTTGCGTTGAATTGGCCATGGAGGCCACCTCCTTTTCCCGATTTCAATTCTTTGGATGATTGCATGTGAAGTATTCTTGAGGCTTATTGTATATCGGAGAGCATTGAAAAGACGAGAACGTCGCTGTGTAATCGTTCAGATATCCTCCATCGCACGGTTCCATTGATCGCCTAGTATCTGGATAAAGACGGTGGAGTGTGAATATCAGCTCTCCTTGTAACATTACCCCCCTTTAACGATTTACATCCCCTGTGATTTATTCGCGTTTGTGAGCCTTCTCCCGTGACCCGTTTGTTTATATGAGCCTCCACTTTGACTCGTTTATGTTTGTTAGGACTTCGCTGTGCGAAAATTTAGCTCACAACGTGAACTATTACGCCCACCTGATGGATTCACGTAGAATGAAATTAGTGCGTCACACCTATGAGCGTGTTCCGCACACACACACAGCATATAGAAAAAGCGGTAGATATGTTCCAAACAATAGAGGAAGAAATACAAAGCACGAAATGTAGTATAACATGGAGGAAAAGCTCATTAAACAGCAACAACTACAACTGTAAAAGTTACTGGATAATCACAGGGATGATTTAACAACTGACCTAAACAAGTTAGGAGTAATTACCTTATCGAGTTTGTATGAAATAATGAAATACAATTAACGGAAAAGTTGCCGAAATGGAGATAAATGGAACAATAAAATCATCACATAGGTCATGCCTCTTCCCAACAGTGCTCGTTTCCAGCAAAGGCGGAAGCACGAGAATGCACATTGAATTTCGAAAATTAAATGAAGTTATGGTAAAAGAGAATTATCTGATTTCACTAATAGGCGATAGTTTGAGCTACTTAGGCAATGCGAAACATTCCTCTACCTTACATGGGAACAATGTATATTGAAACGTGGTGATCCAATAAGTGGATTGAAAAATGACGGCATTTGTAACTCCGGGTGCTGAATTTGTGTAATGCTGGAATATGAAGAGGGAGGAAATCCTTAATAGTTGCATTTCTTAAATTAAACGCTATATATTCACAAAAAACTATCACAAATAAAAATACCATACAATCAAAAGCGGTTATGATTTAAAGGAACTATAAAAAATTCTTAAATGAATTAAATTAAACCTTCACCTAAAATTTTAAGATTAAATAGGATAAAAATAAAATTATAATCTTCATCCCTCTTGCCGATCCGACGGGACTTGAACCTTGACGAAACTCTGGTACAAACTAGAGTGGGTGGATCGGCTTGCGAGTTTCGATGATTTAGGGAGCCGGACCATAGGTTCAACCATAATGGAGGGGTTCTTAAAGAGAAACCAGACTAAGACAAGTCCCTGAAAGAGGGCAGCAGCTCTTTCAGTACTCAGGGTGGCAGAGATCACGAGGATCGGTATGGCACTCTGATGCACAATACTGCGATGTGGAAGGCAACGGGAAACCACCACATTATGATCCCGAGTAAAACGTTCAACTACTGAAATTAAATGATGGCGTCCTCTGGGGTAAAGCACTCCGGACGTAAACTAGTCCCCCATTCGGATGTCCGGGCGGGGACTACCTCGGGGGATGTCATCACTAAGTGCAATAGGGTTAGGTGCAATGTTTCACGAGTCGGAGCGTGGAATGTTAGGTCAATGAGGCAGGTAGGGAAATTAGAAAATTTAAAAATAGAGATGGATAGATTAGAATTAGATATAGTAGGTATAAGTGAAGTCCGTTGGCCCGAAGCTGGAGACTTCTGGAGTGGGGACTTTAGAGTAACACATACAGGATCTGTAGAAAGTAATTCAGGTGTAGGAATTGTAATGCGTAGGAAAGTAGGGCAGAGTGTAGAATGTTATTTACAAAAAGGCGATAGGATAGTTATGGTTAAATTAAACTCAAAGCCGGTAAGAACAGTATTAGTGCAGGTCTACATGCCTACATCATCTTACAGTGATGAAGACGTAGAAGCAGTCTATGCAGATATAGAAGACGTGTTAAGTTTAGTGAAAGGACAGGACAACCTAATAGTTTTAGGAAATTTCAACGCAGTAATAGGTGAAGGTAAAGTGGATGCAATAGCAGTTTCTTTTGGATTAGGCAATAGAAATGATAGGGGAGATAGGCTGATAGCATTTTGCGATAAAAATAACAACCATCACGCTAGGAGGCGCTATACGTGGAAGATGCCAGGTGATTTAGGGAGATATCAATTAGATTACATACTTGTTAGGCAAAGATTTAAAAATTAAGTGAAGGACTGTAGGAGTTATCCAGGAGCAGATATAAATAGCGATCATAATTTAGTAGTTATGAAGACCAATCTTAAATTCAAAATTCTGAAAAAGAGGGCAGGTAGGAGACGTCTCGACTTAGAAAAGCTAAAATGTAACGAAGCGCGTGATAGGCTAGGTAAAATGACAGACGAAATACTAATGGCGACTGGAGAAACGAATGACGGGGACATAGAGATAGAATGGAACTGCATTAAAACGTGTCTAAAGGCAGCAGCTACAGAGGTACTAGGTCTTAAACAAAACGAAAGTAGGAAACCCTGGATAACAAATGTGATTGTAGGATTAATAGACGAAAGGCGGAAATACAAAAACAGGACAGACGAAGAAGGGCAAAAAAGATATAAAGCTATAAAGTGGGAAATAATTAGGAAGTGTAGGGCAGCTAAGTAACAGTGGATTGATAGGATGTGTAAAGAAGTAGAAGAAAAGTTTGAAGTAGGTAAAAGCCATGGGGCTTGTAATATAATTAAAAGGAATTTTGGAGATGTAGGATACAGTACTAATAATAGGGGTCATTTTGATAGAAAATGAGGAAAAGGCAGATAGGTGGAAAGAATATTTAGAGAACCATTACGCAGGACCTCAGTTAGGAGATATATTAGAGAAGGAAGATAGTGTGGAAATAGATGAGCTTGGATATCCCATAATGAGAGAAGAGTTCGATGTAGTATTAAAAAATTTAAAGAATAATAAGGCGCCAGGTGTAGATGGGATACAAGGGGAAATTCTAAAACATGCAGGACAAGAGGTTAGAGATCGTATGTTTAAGTTAGTTAGTCACATTTACGAAACGGGGAAAGTCCCAGAGGATTATAAACGGAACGTAGTAGTAACATTACCTAAGAAGAGGGGCGCGGATAGGTGCGAGAAATTTCGAACAATTAGCTTAACTTCCCATGCGTCAAAAATCTTAACTAGAATTGTACAGAGGAGGATGGAAAAAAGGGCGGAAGAACTATTAGGGGAAGATCAATTTGGGTTTAGAAGAAATAGAGGAACGCGGGAGGCCATTCTAGCTTTACGGGTAGCAATAGAGAAAACGATAGAAAAAGGAAAGAGTGCGTACATAGGATTTGTAGATTTAGAGAAAGCTTTTGACAATGTTAAATGGGACAAGATGTTAAATATACTTAAAAATGTAGGGATGAATTACAAAGATAGAAGAGTGATACTTAGTTTGTATAAAGAGCAACAGGCAGTTATAGAGCTGGGGATGCAACGTAGAGAAGTAAATATTAGGAAGGGAGTCAGGCAGGGATGCACACTGTCACCGCTACTTTTTAATCTATACATCGAAGACGCCATCAACATCATTAAAGACAGTACAACTGTAGGGATAGATGTGCAAGGGCAAAAGATTAGTATGCTTAGATTTGCAGATGATATAGCAGTATTAGCATCTAGCAAGGAGGACCTAGAGATAGCTTTAAATAAAATGGAAGCGGTACTGACAGATCAGTACTGTATGAAAATAAATAAAAGTAAAACTAAAATACTGATATGCAAGGGAAGAAAAAGTAGGGAAAGAGCGAATATAAAGATAGGAGACGAAAAATTAGAAGAAGTGGCTGATTTTAGATACCTAGGAAGTCAGATAAGTGAGGATGGAAGGAGTAGTAGGGATATAAAGCAGAGGATAGCGCAGGGTCGTGTCGCCTTTAATAAAAAGAAGTCACTTCTATGCTCGCGAACGGTTAATTTAGAAATTCGAAAAAGGTTGTTAAAGGTGTATGTTTGGAGCACGGCGTTGT